GTACAGGTGCGGGCAACGAGGCGACTCGATTTATCGTTACTCGCCGTTCGATATGATATTCGCCGACCGTCCCGTGTTTCATACTCGATATCCAAGCGATATCGAACCCAGAAACTGTTTATCATCCGCGACGCTTGTTTTTGGAATAATTGCACCCGGAAATTGGAAGATGGTGTTTGGCGGGGATTAATTGTTTGTCAATGTGTGCGTAGTTGCCTCGTGGAAATATTGACGTTAAGGATCTCGTTAAAATCGTCTTTTCTTAATTAAAAGTTAATTAATTAGATTCAGTTAGAATAGATAAATATAGTATACTTTTTATTTCTTTTCCGAATAAATTCTGATCGATATTATTTGAATAATTGCTTACTTGTTCTAATCAATTTAAAGGAATCAAAAAGTAAATCGACGAAATAAAATAACGACTGGTTTAGTACAACAGATATACAATTTATTTACAAGGATTTCACGCGGATATAAAGTAACAATGTTCTCTCTTTCTCTCTCTTTCCTCGTAAGAGGAGAGAGCGTCGAAGATGATCGATCTCGATCGTTTTGCGTGAAAAATAAATTAAACGCCTGGAAGAAATTATTTTCTAATCGATCGTCGCGCGAACCACCTTCTCGCGCGTCAAATAAATAATTAGTTCGATATAGTATATTACACAATGTTTGAATACAATTAGATACGACGATGAATTGGTTCACGCTCGCGCGCGCGACCTACTCTTTAATTACCCTTTGCCGCGTTAAACTCTTTTAATCGGCGTTTATAGTACACAGAAGGACGTTAATACGATTTGATTCGTTGAGGTAGATAATTTAATCAGTCTATGAAGCTGCTTTGTCGGTCGGTTTGCTCGTTATTGGCATCAATTCGCAAAACTCGATTCCGGCGCGTTCCATCGAATCAGCCTGAATATTTTCACTTAATTTGTTTAATCCTGTTCAACTCTGACGGACAATGTTAACGTCTCGAGTTCCAGCTTCTTCGTTGTGTATGTTGTAACAAAGGAACGTATAAATATAAATATAAATATTTTTAAATCGTTTCAGAAATTTCGAAACAGGAAAATGAATAATGTAACAAAATTCCCCTTCCAAGGAAGAATCGGATCAAGAAACGTTCCAAGAATGTCAAAGTTGTACAAGAATCTTTTAAACCTAAGTTGCGTTGATTTTTTTTCCAATATCTTTGGGTTCGTTCGATTATCGAAACGAGATTTCGTTTCTCAACGTTTCTCCAGCAATATAAAAATCCAAAGATATCGAGTATCGCTTGTGGAACTGCCAGTCGAGAAAAAAAAAAAATTGTTCCGCGAATATGCTGTTGTCTCTCATTTGACCAGGTACAAACGTTGAAGAAGGAAAGATGTTTTGGTAAATGGGAAGTGAAGCCTCATGGCTGATCAGAGTTGATCGTTCGACGAATGATCGTCGAGGACGAGTAAATTAATTCGTAACAACATGATTATATGCCCGTTTACTCTGCCTTACGAACTACGAAATAAATAATTAAAATACTTGGCTATTCGCGAGGATGGTGTGAAATATATCGCTTCACACGCGCAAGAACGACGAGAATCGTTGCTAAAAAAAAAAAAAAAGAGAAATTCTCATTGGATTAAGTAACTTGGCCGAAGGCGAACTCGATCTAAAAAAACTTGGATCGACTCGATTCCAAATGCGACCAAGGTTTCCAAATATCGTAAAAATTCTAACAAATGAATGTATATGTACAATTCAATCGATCCTCGAAACAAGGATCCGAAAAATTGAAACAAAAAGTTTCTGCATTACTATCGTTTTTTCAGAGACGCGTTTAAACATCCAATCCCCGATTTTTCTTAATCTTCTTCTTTCGATCTCTTCTTCGTCAAAGAAGATTCGAAAGAAAACGCGACGAAGAAAACGACCGAGAATAATAATAAAATAATCGATCGAAATGTACAAGATGTACAAAGATTTCAATAAAGTCTTTTCTTCATCGAGCTCGTGTTTCTTCGCTCCCTCGTCATCATCGGATTGAATTACATTATTCGAGTTCTTAACATTGGCGACGAGTTAATTCGCCCGTTGCGTAAGAAGATTTAACAGCTCGTCGTGATCCATGCTGTTCAACGTTTGTATGTCTATGCCGAGCGCGTTCGCAACGCTCTTCATGTCGAGGCCGAAGCTTTTCAACAACTCGATGAAGTCCATCTCCTCACCGGTGAACGGGTTGTGCAGCTTCGGGCAGCTGTGATTACACTGCGGCCAAGTGCAACGTTCGATTAACCGGAAGTGGCAGCCCTGAACACACTTCCGTTTGCCAGATGGTATCACAGACCGCTGCGGCCTCGTCCCGTTGAACATGCCTGTGTGGTTGGTGTCGTTGTTCTGCTTGTTACCCTTACGCCGACCTGCAATTTCATCCGAATTTCGCCTCGATCAGCTTTTCCAACGATTCGTCCCCTTCTCTCGTCGAAATTTTTCTTAGAAAAAAAAAAAAGTTGCAACGATCGAACGAAGAATTTAATTTATTGGGAAAAAATAGAATTTTTTCGTGCTTATCAGAATTAATATTCGGATCGACGTATGACAATCTGTGTCTTGCGATATTTCCAATATAGAAAAAATTGTAATTATATGTAGAAAAATATGAAATAGAAATTTAAGACGTAAAAATTAAATTTGAATAAATTGATAATATGAAACACGTACATGGAAGGAAATAAATATATAACGAATTTATTCAATATATTCAATGTAATATGATCCTATCGATGACAGACAATCATCTAATGGTAAGTAATCATCGCAGTTTTTATTCGTTCCTTACATTTAATACAAAATTTACCCGTAGCTTTTCTTCGCTCGTGCTTCTCCTTCCTCGACCTCGCTTCCTTGTTCCTCTCCCTGCGTTTCCCTTTGTGCTTCCTCCTCTTCCTCTTCTTGCCCTCCTTGTCCTGCACCACGGCGTTCGACGATGTTTTCCCCGTGACCGATTTCAACGGGCCCCTGACTTTCTGCAACTCCGCCACGGACTCGCCTTTCCCGCTTCTTCCTGCCTCGGATGAAGTTCCGTTTCCCTTCGTCAACCCGGAACGCACCAACTTCCGCAACGACTTTGTGCACGGCTGGTTCGTCTCAATTGGCGAACGAGTGCTGAAATTAACAGGGGGGGGGCAAAGTCAGTCCGTTTGCTTGACAACTTGACAGTTTTCCAGCAAACGGAACGGAGGAAATGAAACAAGAAACACTTTGTGCATATCGTGTATCTTGCGTTTCGAATTTCTCGTCCTCTTCTTTTGTACAAAGAAGACTTTTTTTTGTGTCTCAGGGTACATATTCGTTTTATTCTACATTTTTGTTTTCTCTAAAAGATTTATCTTTACTATCCTACTGATATTGAAATTTAATGTTAATAATGTTTTTTTAAATGTATTTTTAGAATTATTCGATACTTACACGTTTCGATGATTTCCAATCGGCATTTGCTCCCAGCAATGCAACGCCTGTGCCAGAGAGACCTCGTCTATCTTGACCAATTGCCAATCTCTTTTCGTCAAAACGCTGTGGCTGATGCAACTTGGCGCGAAGACCGCTGTAACGTTTTCGAACGTCTGTCTCAGGCTGTCGCCCATTTTGTGTATGTAATCCCATTGTTGCTTGGTCACAGGTGCACCCACGTTGTCCGCCGACATCTGAGCTTCGTCGAACAGCCATTGGAAAACGAACAAGGGGGCTACGAATCGAACGTGTATACAGATTTTAGAAAAGAATTCGAATCGATGCAAAGCTCGAGAGAAATTTAAAAAAAAGAATTATCTAAACGGATAATGGATAACAATTTCTCTGCGAATTCTACGCGATGAAATTTTCAATTACAATTTGTTGAATGGTTGTGACAACACGAGATTACGTGATGATTAATTGGACGAAGGTAGACGTTTTGCTTTACCGGTCAACGTTGGATACAGCCTGTAGCCGAAGTAACATCTCCACGGTTCGTTTCGGTGTTTGTTGACGCAATTGTGCGGCATTCGGGCCTTCCAGAGTTCCATCCCCTTGTGAACAACGTCAACCGGTGATAAACCGTTCGGCGAATACGGAGCCCTGTCGAGAAACCATCCTGAGTCGGATACGCCTCTTATCGCGATGTGCTTCAAGCCTGCGTTTACAATGGAAATTAATGCTTAAAATTTCGATGGAATAATAAAAAGAGAAACGAAAGAAAAAAAATTCCTCTTACCTAGATCGTGGTGAACCAAATTGTGCACGTGATCCAGATTCAACATGACACCGGTTCCACCCGCGCTGCTACCAGCAAGAAGAAGGGAGCTTGCGTTCTCGAGGCCAAGTGGAACGAGATCTCGTACCACCTGCAGTACAATCTCTGCCCCCATGAAGGAGAACATATCGTTCAACGAAGCTCTGGTTCCGCTCCAACTGTCGCTCGTGCAATAAGGAACGAACCTGAGGGAACGAATTTTAGTTAGAAGTTTTCATTATAGAAGAATTACAACTAATATCGTTGTCGAAGGTCTTGCCAAGATGGACGATACCTACACGTGATTCGCATTCCACCAATATGGGTTCTCCTCGGGGTTCGCCGACAATAGGCCGCCAACTGCAATCGTCAACGTTTCCAAGATTATTCATTCGATAAAAAAAATAGTACCGAATAATGGAAAAGATATCTTCTTTCAAGATTTTTTAACCAGATTGCTTTTCCTCTCTTTTTTTTTTTTTTTTGGAAATAATAGTAGAAATAATTGGAAAAATCGAGATGTATACGATCTGTTTCCTATTCCATATTTTTCCACGCTCGCTAAACACAGGTTCTGTAGATAGAGATCGTGAACGAGCTAGGATTCTTCCGTGTGATAATAAACGAGATTCTACTGTACCGCAAGCGAGATTTTACTGTAAATCCATTTCGAGCTGGACGGCGATAAAAAATTCCATCACGAGTCGCGTCAAACGACTAACAAAACTCGGTAGATCGCGGAACGGCAAACGAGAATGAAGAAAAGAAAAAAAATGTCGGCTCAACGCGCGCAACTTTGAAAGCGGAAGCTTGCTCACCGTCGCGTGTCTCAGGCCATTGTGTGGACGTCATCAGATGCCTCAACCTGAGCCACCTGTTCCTACAACTCTTGTGATCGTAGCAATACCATCCACCTTCCAGGAAAATGATCCACCTTCTGGATCCGTGCGACTTCCGCAGGTAGAACCCCGCCTGGGATCCGTCGTTGCATGTGATCGATCTGTTGCTCAGGTAGACCCTCTTCAGGCCCCTCTGCTCCTCGAGCCCGTACTTCTCCAGAATCTTGATCAGCTTCTGGATCGTGTTGGTCTGGATCGAAGCCGTGCCGGAGGACACCGAGACGGTGTTCCTCGGCCTCTCCTCGGCGGCTATCGTCAACACGAGGGCCGTCAGGCATATCGAGATCTGTAAATCGACCGATCCTTTTATTTATTTTCCTTTTTTAATCACGTGCTTTGCACTTTTTTTCTTCTTTTTTTTTAACGGATTAACTTTCGTCACGGATTCTGGCCGCGACATAATTTGTAATGAGTTCGATGAAATTTACGGACCGTTGTTATTTTGATATCGATCGTATATTCACAGTTGTAAACAATTCGGCGATAATAATGTTTCACGAACAGGTGTAATAGGCGAAAAATATTGGAAAAAATAGTGATTTGTATCTCGCTGAATGGATAATGGAAAGATTAATAGGGAGACGGGGATGATAAATAGAAGCTTTGTTTTACGAATGGAGAATAGGAGGAGGAAGGGGAAAAAAAATATTGAAAAAGAGTAATTCGTATCTCGATGGTTAATCGAAGAATTAATGGTTTTTTTCTTTTCTTTTCAGAGAAATATATCAACGAGATGAAAAGATTAATCAGAACTCAATAATGGTAAAAAGATTCCGTTCGTTACAGGCAAGCAAATTGGAATCACGTGCTTCATAAAAGAATCCTTTTTAAGGTGGACAAATTTTATTCGCGACACGTTTACTCGTAAAACATTCCGATATCGGGCACGTGGTTGGAAATCGAATTAAACGAAAGACGAGAATCTCGTCCCACGGAACCGAGTTATAAACTGGAAACGCTAGCTGAGTACGTTAATCACCGTACAGTCTATGATAATGAGCTACCGGAGATACCGTGGCTGAGTGAGCAGAAACTGCGAGAGCCAAGGAGATAAGCTCTTCATTTCCCACCTAGTTTGAAAATGACCATTATTCAACCTGTTAGGCGAGTACGATCTTACAAGTAAACCTGGCTACCATTTCGAACTTATCGACGACGTAGAATACGCAGCCATATTGAAATATTCGATGACCCGATGAGTCAGTTTCAACTAAATCCTCGTTGCATGGTAATATATTAATATTCTTAAGTATCGACTTTTTAAATACAAAATAAATTTTCAACTTTATAATACGAATTTTCGAGCGTAATTATTAATTCGAGAGAGTTAGAGTTCGAGAAAATGAAATTACAATTTTTGTTTTTTTTTATCTATAATATGATAATTTCACGACGAGATTCATCTAGATACCGTGTTCAATTCACGGATGATTTAACATCGGCCATAATCTTCTGCCAAAATTTCGAATCACTCGGGTGTGAATGAACGATGTACCCGTAGTTGGTATTTAACGCAGATGATTTGACAGGTTTATATTTCTAATGGTGCAATGCATACCGCGGTGTTCACGCACGATCCCGCCATTACAAGCTCGTATTCCATCATTAGAAACGCAAACCCGTGTGTCACCGAATCGCAAAATCACACGCGTCGCGATCCAACAATCCTATCTACCTCGAGTCCAACCGGCCGTTCGCAACCATCTCTCAAATTTCATCCACGTTCATACGCGAATTACAACCTCGTTACAACGACATTCCTGAAAGACCATGCGTAACAATTTCAAATCGGCCAATTTCCCCTCCCCTCCTCATCTTTCTCTCTCTCTCTCTCTCTTTCCCTCTTTCTGCCCCCTGTTTCACAGACCTGTAATTTCTTCGTCGACAGGGATTTTCACCATCGAGGGCATAGAAAGCAATAACAACGTCGGAACCGAGCGGTAACAAACGAGCACCAGGCCGCGAGAGAATAATTTAAAAGGAGGAAGCGTCGTTCATACGCGGCGCCACTCGCTCTTTCTCTTTCTGATCCTCTCGTCCTATATACAGGGTAACCCAGAACGTTATATATAGAGAAAGGTTTTATATATCTGTAAAAAATGAGTCGAAAAAGAAGAGATACGAATAATAATTGGTAAGAGACTATTCTACACGGTAAAAAAAAGAAATAAAGATAAAAATAAAATATAGAATAAAATTCATTCGTTTAAAACTTAATTATCGATCGAAATTAAGATTGAAAATTCGTGAAAAGATATATACATTTTCCAATTTTTCTATTTTCTTCGTAAAGAATTTTCACATACAAAATTAATTATTGAATTGCAATATTCAACTTTCACTTTAACAAATTTGTCTAGCCAGGAATCAAATTCATTACTTTTCTTTTAGTTACTTAAAATTACACTGCTCACTCATACCGTTTATTTCAGGACACCCTGTATAGCAGAACTCGTGCGTTTCGCCATAACCTTTCTTCGATTTCTCTTTCTCTCTCTTTTTCTGTCTTTCCGTATTTTATACACACACACACACACACACAGGTACACGCACTTATACACATTCACGCGTGTTGCTTTGTCCGCGCCTCTTTCTGTTAGTCCCAGGCCAGGTTCTATCGCGATGCCGGCTACTTAGGATCAAGTTCCAGGTTTCAGGACGGTAGCCGGCGGCGGAAACACCTCGGAAACAGAAGCTCGTTCTGGCGGGTAGAACGAGATGAAAGGAAGCCGCCCAGCTGTGGACGATGGAAAGGAGAAACGTTGTTGCGACGCAATTATGATCGGATATAATGGGCCGCGAACACCGGATCGCCTTTGGAGCACGTATCGAAACACGCCGCCGGCGAGAAAGAGCCCCTTTCCGAGCCCCAGGTAAAGTGGATGATTTCGACCGGGCTTTTGCTACTTGTCCAACGAAATTAACCTGTGCCCTCTTCCCCCTTCTTTTTTCCCTCCTTCCTCTTCCCCAATCATCGTCAGTCGAAACGAACGTCCAACGAATTTATCAAAGAAAAATGGACATTTTTTTTTTTTTCGTATCTACGTGGAAGTAGTTTCAAATTACAACGTTGATTAAAATTCGTTCGATGAAATTCGATCGAGTGAAATATCGATTTAAGAGAATTTATTGCACATTTTTGTGGAATCTTCTAAGGATTCTTATAATATAATAACGTAAAAAATTCTTTATCACGTAAAAAGATAATTTTCTTCGATATTTCCTCCTCGTCGAATATACGGGACCGCATTAATCCTTTCGTAAAATCTTTCTTAACTGTTAAATCCGATCCTTATTACTCGCCGACGTCGTTAATTATCCTCAAGTGGCCTCCGCTGGCCGATACAAAAAAAAAAAAGAAAAAGAAAAAAGAATATCAAAGTTCCGTTAACCACGGCTAATCCGTGGAGCGTCGTCGTAGAAACCCAACCTCCTCGGGTCGTAAATATCATTTACAACGGCAAGATAGGAAGTCTCCTCATCCTCGACCTAGGAGAACGTTTCACGGTACGATGACACTCGTTGAAATCAAGCGGGGAAAAACTATCCTCCCTATATCCCTATAAGTAGAATCTTTCTTCGAGAGAAGAAAACTAAACTGAATTCGATCTCTCCCCTTTCGATTTTACGAGCAGGCACGAAGCGCCGCCGAAAAACCGCGACGAATCCGAACTTTCGAGCAGATCGTAAATAAAATTCACGACCCTGGTCCCTCCCACACTTTGCGTAACCGCTTTATTATGCCATAAATCAAGCTGTCCCTGCGCGTGAACACCCGTTACCGGAACGGCCACTGTCCCGCGTTCGTGGAAATCCTCGTGAAATGAAAGAAAGAAAGAAAGAAAAAAAAAAAAGAGGGAAAATCTCGCCCCGGATAGGGAACACCCTTTAAAAGGTGGAAACGATAGCGAGGATCCAAATAAAAATCCCGATCGCTTCGATTCGACGATACTCTCCCTCGTACTATTGATTTCGATATGGTTATGGACGTTACAAAAAGTGATACAAGAGGCTGCATTGTTGCATGGATTTCTCTTCTTTTATCATATTATCTCCTTTTTCTTTTTTTTTGTCGTTCCAATAATGAGAACGAGCTTAAGCTACATATAATAACTATCGATTCGACAAGACTTACAGTCGCCCAGTAAGCTGAGATTAAGTCTGTAACGCGATATTCTTTTTGGAATATGGTAAAAAGGAAGAGTGGTTAAAAATAAACGTAATTTGAAAACTTTCGCAATTCAATTATCCCGATTAATCTGATTTTCGAAAGAAATTAATCATCGTTCCCCCGATCAATTTTCACGAGGGATGGAATTTCGTACTCTCCGTAATCCATTTCCATACCCTTTAAATTTATAATCCTTCTGGATCCGCGTATAATTCGGTTGCCTCTCAAAGAACTTGTCCCTGTGCTTATGAAAACCTCTCTCTCTCTTCTTCCCTCTCGTTCCTCTTCTATTCCTCTTTCGCCACTCACGGGTCCCACCCCGACTGCTCCTTTTCTCTCCTTCCGTATCCGGCGCATTAGAGGGTGTTCTGGGCGTGAAGGTGTCCGTCATAATTTGCCAGGCGGCGCATAATCCCCGTGACAAAGGCCGACAAAGTGACGGCTGTTACTGGCCGCCACCCTTTATCCAACCTGCTAAGATTCCGGTAGCAGGTAAAGCGTTTAAAGATTCCGAGCCGGATAGATGAATCACGACGCGGCTCAACTGACTCCTGGCCCCAGAGGATCGCACTCTGCCGCCGTTGCTTCTGTCTCTCCTCTTTTGCCTGTTTTCGTGCCTGTGTTGCAAGCATGCACGCGTATCGATCCTTTCTTTTAACGGTGCGATACGCTTTGCGAGTTTGATCGCGATTTTTCGATGGAAGAATTTTTTTCTTTTTCTTCTAATTCAAAGAGGAAACGTTTTCGATCGTATTAATTTTACATAATATAAAAAATATATATATATATATATGAAAGTGTAAGCGTAGTTAATCATTTTCTTTTAATCTTCGTGAATGCAATAAAATTTCACGAAAATTAATAACCAATATTCATCGTGAAAGGACACGTGTCACATACATGTATCGAACACGTAAAAAATTATTTATTTATAGTTGAATGAATGAAATAAATATTAATATTCGGTTAATTTATCAAAAATAAAAAATATATCATACTTATTATAGGAGAGTTAATTCAGAGTATAAAGTCAGAGATATTTTTCGCTATGGATTAACGGATAGATATTGTTCTTTGAATGGAAAGAATTTAATAATCGTTGTGTCAAAAGTATA